CTGGCTTCAAATCCAGCCCTTGCAGGTACAGCGAGATTAGGACACAATGGAAGAGACTGTGAGGAAAACAAGAAACCTGCCAATTACATTAAAGACAAGCTCTCAGTTTATCAAGCAGCAGGAAACTCTCCCGCAACAATGCCAGATAAAAGCTAATTTAACAGAGATATGCAGCGTGTGGACCAATGACTGTCAAGGCAAGCAAAGGAAGGAGGAGGAGGAGATTGGATTTATACCCCACCCTTCACTCAGAGCGGCTTACAAACTCCTTTCCCTTCCCCTCCCCACAACAGACATCCTGTGAGGTAGGTGGGACTGAGATAGCTCTGACAGAAACCACTCTTTTTCAAGAACAGCTCTGAGAGAACTATGGCTTCCCCAAGGTCATCCAGCGGGTGCAAGTGGAGGAGTGGGGAATCAAACCCGGTTCTCCCAGGTTAGAGTCCGTGCACTTAACCACTGCACCAAACTGGCTCTTAAGAAGAAAACGGGTTTTACTTATTGAGGTAGTGAATTCCTTGTGTGTCCGTTTCTCTCTCTAAGAACACCGACCCAAGGATGGTTAGAAATGCCATCCGTTCTAGCCCTATCAATGCCATTTTAATGCCTACACCAGATCCAACCATAAGAATTCGACATCAAGAGATTCAAAGGAACAGCTTTAAGGGTGACAAGCTCTCCTCCTTTGGAGGTGTTAAGGAGAGGCTAGACGGCCATCTGACAGCAATGAAGAAGAAAAGATTGGATTTCTACCCCGCCCTTCACTACCCGAAGGAGTCTCAGAGCGTCTTACAAACTCCTTTCCCTTCCCCACAACAGACACGCTTGTGAGGTAGGTGGGGCTGAGAGAGCTCTTTCGAGGACTGCTCCTGAGAGAACAGCTCTGAAGGAACTTGTGACTGACCCAAGGTCACACCAGCAGCTGGCTGAATGTGGAGGAGTGGGGAATCAAACCTGGTTCTCCCAGACTAGAGTCTGCACTCCTAACCACTACACCAAACTGTCTGATTCAATGACTCACTATGAATTTAGGCAGATCAGGAGAGGGTGGGCGGGAAGGGATGAGCCAGTGCTCGGCTCTCGGGGTCCTTTCTTATATGCCCAGGGCAATGCTGGTCGCCACTTTGGGGTCAGGAAGGAACTCTCCCCCAGCCCAGATTATTCCAGGAATCCTGGAGCATTTTTGCAGGAGGTAGCTGTGAATTTCCTGCACTGTCCAGAGGGTTGGACTAGATGACCACTGGGGATACCCCTTCCAGCTTTGTCTGTACGTTAATTATGTTTACAGTGCCACAGCCTTACTGTGTGTTAAAAAAAAGAAGCCAAGTTCAGCTGTTATTTCCACAGTATGCTCAAAATACATAGATTCTCCATTAAGACAAGAACACTAGATTTATTCTAAAGTCTCCACAACACCAGAACATGCCTGCTGCTTTCTGTCCGCAGACACATTGGGCGGGAGGAGACTTCTCAACTCCTCCTTTCCCAAGGCCAATAAATTATCAGCTACTTGGGCTCAGTTCCCACCGTGATGTATGCATCCTTTTGTATTCCACACGCTCAGAGCTGTGTCATCAGACCCAGAAACCCGCTCCGAGGAGAGCACAGAAGTTTTTTTTCTAGCACGGGAGGACGAAGCAAGAATACAGCGACTGTCACTTAAACAAAAGAGAGAAAAAGAAAGTGTTTTTTTCTCTCTCTACGTGGACCAACAGTTATAGGGCAACAATATACAAAGAGGAAAACGCTCTTGAGGTCACAACTATTGTTAAAACAAAAATTGAAGCGGGAAGGGAAGGGCTAGATCTAGTCGGACGGTTTCTTCGGTACGCACGGGAAACTGCCACATACTGAATCAGGGAATCGGTCCACCAAGGTCAGTATTGTCTACTCAGACTGGCAGCAGCTCTCCAGGGTCTCGGGTACAGAGGTCTTTCACATCACTTACCGCCCAGTCCTTTTAAACAGGGGATGCTAGGGATTGAACCTGGGACCTTCTGCATGCCAAGCAGGGGCTCTTCCACTGAGCCACAGCCCCTCCCCTTTTTGGGATACCCTTTACTTTTGAAAACAAAGCACCCCTCCCATCTATTTTTGGTGCCGCCCGACATGGGAATATTCACAGAGTCACTGAGCTGGTTCCCACGGACACCACGGAGGCAACTCAGTTGCCCTTCCCCTCCATTGGACCCTTCCATCTTGGCAGAAGCAGAGTTGGCTGCCGCCCCCGCAAGCGAGGGGGTTCGTGGTTCACCCTCAAAACCAGAACCGCAAACAGGCTGCCTTTGATCTTCAAACTGTGGTTTGTAATCTCAGGTTAGAGGATGGATGCAGGCCACGGTTTGACAGGGCGAATGTCACGGCAGGACGGTGGGTTGTGCTTACCCAGAACTGCACTGGAGCATACGGTGTGTGTAGGAGAAGGGGAAAATAGGGAACACATGAACACAGGACTCCTTCCCATGTTAGCATACGAAAGCGGGCACTGATTCAAAAGTCAGTGCCCAACAGCGGTGAACTGCAGGTATGTGCCTCCCCTATTTTCTCAAACCTCCAGGACTTTTTGCATATTTTTTTTTGCATACCTTCAAGACCACCTCTCCCCATATGAGCCCCGCAGAGCAGTAAGGTCCGCCCAACCACCATTTTCTGGTGGTCCCCAGACCCAGGGACGTCCGACCTGCCTCAACCAGTGGTCCCCTGCCTGGTGGAATGAGCTCCCGTGTGAGATCAGGGCCCTGCGGGATTTATTACAATTCTGCAGGGTCTGCAAGACGGAGCTCTTCCACCAGGCTTTTGGTTGAAGCAGCAGGCGTCCGCCTCCTTGGGTCACCCCCATCTGTAACCCGGGTCCTTGAGATCCTAAATTTTAAAGATCTCTAAGACAAAAACTTAATTTCTAATACTAACAACCAATGTTCCCTCTAAGCTGTGGAGTCTTGTGAGCAAAAATTCTACTTTGTGAGCTGCCGGTATTAAAGCTGTGAGCGAGCGATTTGGCTACTGCATAAATTAGTTTGGCTCTGGAGCCATCCTTCCTGAGCTAAGGCAAAAATGTGTAAGCCGGAGGCTAAAAAACTGTGAGCTAGCTCACACTAACTCAGCTTAGAGGGAAGACTGCCAACAACCACCGAGGTACCTGGTTTCTACTAGAGTTCTATGGCACATACGAATTATGTTATTTTATACTGTGTTTTCATGGTTTTAATTGTATTGTATTTTATACCGTTGGAACCTGCCCTGAACCCGTTAAAGGGAGGGCGGGATATAAATAAATAAAAATACTCTACTGGGGGACACACACATCCACAGGGTGGTAACTTAAATATACTTTCCTCCTGGGAGCAAGGCCCATTGAACAGACTTGAGTAGGATTCTGAGTAGACGCACTTAGGACTGCACTGACAAACAGTTATGGAGAACAGTACGGCCGTCTCTTTGCCCGGACGATTAATCCTTCCATCTTATCAACTTTCTTTGCTTAGCTTTTTAAATCATCATCATCCCTTTATTGTCCTTATAAAAGGGAGAACACTGAGCAAATACGTAAAAGGACTAAGCATAAAACGGATCGCGAATTAAAATATCCCAAGGTTACAGTATATTGCTTCGTATAAAAACGGCAACGTGTAACAATTTTGCCACTGAAGCAGTTATCGTGTTGTCAGTGTTGTTAAGTAGAAACAACAGTTGACATGCATCAGGAAAATCCGTAATGCTGGATAAGACTGAAGATAAAATACTTTGTCTGATATTCTTTTTAAATCTGTGCTGTTTGGTTTGTGAGCCGCGCGTGCCACTTCTCAGCGCTGGGTGATACAGCCGTAGGACCTCTCCCTGTTTGTAATGGAGTCTCTACTAGTCTCCGACTGTCTTGAGTTACCCTTTGCTCAATGCGCCCTCTAGGCTGTGGGGTCTTGTGAGCAAAAATTCTGCTTTGTGAGCGACTGGCATTACGGTTGTGAGTGAGCGATTTGGCTGCTGCATCAATTAGGTTGCTCTGGAGCCCTCCTTCCTGAGCCAGAGGCTTAAAAACTGTGAGCTAGGTCACACTAACTCGGTTTAGAGGGAACGCACTGCTCTTCACCCCTTGCGGATTTTTTTAACTTGTGGCTTTGAAGTCAGCAGGCCTGTTCCAGGGAAGCCTATTCCCTAATCCCACAATGAAAAACAGGAAGTGCCAGGAACATTCCTTTACTACAGAACAATGAGTCCCAAACAGGGTGAGACCACCCCACCCACGGCAACACCTAAAGCGGAGAGCGCTGGAAATAATGTCACCCTATTACCGAAATGCAAGCGACGTTCTAAGCAATGTCCCCTCTAAGATGTGGAGTCATGTGAGCAAAAATTCTGCTTTGTGAGCTACTGGCGTTAAAGTTGTGAGTGAGAAATTTGGCCGCTGCATAAATTAGTTTGCTCTGGGGAGCCATCCTTCCTGAGCCAAGGCAAAAATGTGTAAGCTGGAGGCTAAAAAACTGTTAGCTAGCTCACACTAACTCAGCTTAGAGGGAACACCGGTTCTAAGGGGTGCAAAAGCTGAGAAGTATTTCAAAGCCTCAAGCATCAAATATACTTTTAAGCATTCAGAATTCTCTCTGGAGTCCTGCTTCTCTCCCACCACGACGTAATATAATTCCTCGTTCCCCACAGACGGCAATACTCGGTTTCACTTAGGTCAACAAAGCGCCTGGCTGGCATAATAACGTAGAAAACCGAAACGTCCCTCTGAACTCAGTTTCTCGAACGGCGAAGATTAAAAAGAACAACCTGCCAACGTTTCTGCCTGTCTCGGGAATCACGTTCTTCGCAAACAGGAGACCAAACGGAAAGCCATTAAGGGAAGGTTTAAAAATAAAACTTTCGGCCCGATACTTAGAGAACGAGGATCCACTAAGCCAAGCAGATACCAAGCACAGTGCCAAGGCTCTCGGCCAAGTGGCAAGCGCCACTGCATTAGTGCGGTACCGGAGGAAGAGGGTTCAGGTGTAAGCACATACCAAGCGATGACATCAGACCGAAACTGCCCTCAAGTTTCGCTGGAGAGCAGAGCCTTCGCCCCGGTCGCCTTTAAAGCATCAGAGGCACGAAGAAATCCCACAGCAATCGAGGAGAGCCGTCTGGGAGAGGTGCTTGGAGAAAGGACGAGAGAATCCAAAAGTTGTCTGCCTCCAAAACAAGAGAATCCCCCCCTCCCCAGTTTCTGTGAGTCAGGAGGAAACCTGTTGAATGCTGCCAAGTTCCACCCCCTTTCCCCCCAGGGGAAAAACAGAGGCTGGGATTGTGCAGGTAGCTGAAAGAGGTCAGGGTCCACGCCCCGTCGCGTACACCTGTGCCACAGAACACGCCCACAGAACAGGTGAGCAGCAGGCGGGTCCCTCCACCCGAGAGAGCTTTCGGAAGGCAAGCAGCTGATTCAGAGGGAGTCGCTCAGGGAGCCTGTATTTCAAGGCTTCCCAAACCTGCCCCGGTCTGCGAGCTTCGCAGGAATCCCTGACGCAAAACTCCAGCGCAAGGACACGTCCTTCGGGGCACCAAAACAGCCCACACAAAAGACTCACAAACACACACACACGCACGCACAGATCACGTGCCTGAAAAAGTATTTTTCATTCGGGAGGGGGGGACACACACATGCCATTGTGTTGCGAGTCGACAGACCCCCAATGCAAACATTTCTGGGAAATAAAGACTGCAACCAGACGTTAGTACTCCCCGGTGCAAAATTTCACACACACACACACAAAAAGCACTGTGGAAGAAACTTTTCCGCCTCGATAAAGCCGAACTCTTTTTTGAGACAGTGGCCGCTTTGGAGTGGAGAAGGCAGAGAGAGAGAGAGAGGCACCGAGCAAAAACCTCCAGCACGTTTCCCTGCCTCCCACCCCAGCTGTTTACAACTTGCAATTCCCCCCCCTCGAGGGCTTACACCCGCGGGCTTACATCTGAGTAGCCAGGCTGGGGAGTACATCTGAGTAGCCATCTGAGCTGGGGAAAGGGGGATTTTGCTGGTGGGGGGTGGCAGGACAAATCTCTTTGCAGAGGAGGCGAATCCAGCCCGGCCAGCCCCTTTCAGTGGCCCTCCAACCAACAGGTGGCCGGGGGGGGGGGAAGGAAAAAATTGCAAAAAAAGAAAGAAAATGGGAGGGGGGAAATTGCAAAAAAGAAAGAAAATGGGTAGACGACAAAGGGCAGCCGGGAAGGCCCCGG